GCGGGTGCTGCCGGGGCTTCACCCCGTCCCTGCCAGAGGGGAAATGGGGAAATGGGGAAATGGGGACAATTTACCGTCACTCCGCCGGGGACTCGGTGCGGCCGCGGCGCTGTGGGGTGGGGGGTGAGACGTGCTGTGGGGTGGGGGGTTTGAGGGGCTTTGTGGGGGCTCCACAAAGCACTTCCCACTGCTGTGGTGGGTGATGGTGGGACTGGGGTGGTCCCGCTCCAGTAGGGCTTGGGTGATGGCTGGACTGGGATAGTGGTGATGCAGGAGATGGCTGGATTTGGGATGCTCCCACTCCGGCAGTGCTTGGGGGATGGGTGGACTGGGATGTTCCTGCTCCATCAATGTGGGGTGATGGCTGGACTGGGATGTTCCTGCTCCATCAATGCTCGGGTGATGGCTGGACTGGGATGTTCCTGCTCCACCAATGCTCGGGTGATGGCTGGACTGGGATGTTCCTGCTCCACCAGTGCTGGGGTGATGGCTGGACTGGGATGTTCCTGCTCCATCAATGCTGGGGTGATGCCCGGACCAGTATTTTCCCACTCCCACACTCCACTGGGATCCTGGTGATACGGGTGATGGTTGGACTGGGATGTTCCCACTCTGTCGGTGCTCAGCTGTGGGGACATGTGGCCGGAGCAGGCGGGGGGCTCATTAAACCCGCCCCCCGTGGCTGCAGGGGTGCAGTGGGGGTCTGCTGGGGCTGGGGGGTCTTTGTCCCCAGCCAGGACCTGTGCTGGGGGGGCAGAGGAGAAGTCACTTGGTGTCCTCAGTGGGTGCCGTGGAGCTGGGTGCTGGGAGCCTGGGATCCTTCAGGTCCTTCAGGAACAGGGGACTCCCTGGGGACACGGTTCCCCCACTTTGCTCAGGGTCCATAGGACGGGGAGGGGACAGGGTGGGAAATCCCCTTCCTACGGGATGTGGGGGGAGGGAGAGGTGCCAGTTAACCATGGAGGAAGGTCCAGGCTCTGGAGATCTTCATCGTCTGCCCCAGAGTGTGTCCCACCATGGGGCAGCTCCGGGTGCCTTATCTCAGCCCCGGCAGCTCTTCCGCTTGCGCTGGTGGCTCCATCCCTGTCCCCCTCCATCCCTGTCCCCCTCCATCCTTGTCTCCCTCCATCCCTTGGGCACAATGTTGACCATCACCACCCAGAGCATCCCTGGGGTGCCCAGAGCCCACCCGTGCAACATCCCATGGTCTCACCCCATGGAGAGGAGGTGGAGGAGATACCCCCACCACCACCATCTTCCCATCTCTCCTGTCCCTGCAGGGAGGTCCCTGTCCCACCCGGCACGGTGGCCATGGAGGGCGCCTCCGTCCTCAGCCCTTCCTCATGGGAGAAGCGCCGGGCCTGGGCCCGGCAGAGCCGCTGCTGGAGGACCACCGTGGTGGAGGAGGAGGCGGCCGCCGCCATGCAGGACGTCCCCGAGCTGCAGCCACCCCACCTGGACGACGTCTTCCTGGAAGGTCGGGAGGAGGGGGACACCTCGGGGTGCTCGTGAGACGGGGGGTGGGCACCCACGTGCTGGGTGGTCTCACCTGGTGTTTCTGTTTCCCACCCACCCCCAGGAAGCCCCTCCAGTAAGATAGAGACGTGGCTGCAAGAGTGCGGGTGAGCTGGGGGGTGGGGGGACAACACGGGGGGGGTCTATGCCAGGATGCCATTCCCATGGGGATGTCGGGGTCACCGTGGGGGTGACAAGGGAGGTGGGACAATGCTCGGGCTCAGCCCCCACTGGAATTTGCACCCAAGTGGGCACACGGGTGCTGGTGGGGGGGTGGCTTGTCCCCCCCTGGCTCCTGCTCCCTGGTGGCCCCCCCGTGCAGGAAGGACACGCACCTGGAGATGGCTCTGCCACACGTCAGGGCCGTGGGCCAGGGAACCCCTGGACAGACTGGGACAGCGGGGTGGTGGCACCCTCCTCCTGCACCACACTGGGGGTCTCCAGGGTCCCACAGGGGTCTGGGGTCCCTGGGATGGGGGGGTCCCCCGGCCTGAGCTCATCCCACCACGGGTCACCCACCCCCAAGCCCAGCTGCCATCTCCTTGCTCTCACCCTGTGCCCTGTCCCCTGCGTCCCTGTCCCCACCACGCTCAGGTCTCCCATCCCACCTCCAGCCCCCCCCGGGGTGGGGACAGGGGGGATGTGACGGGGGTTCTGCTCGGGTGCAGGTCGTCGATGGAGGTCCCGCCGGAGGAGCTGGGCTTGCCAGGCCCCTGTGGTACGTCAGCTTTGTCCCCACAGAGCTCTGGGGGTGCTGGTGGTCCCTGCGTGTCCCCAAAGCCCCTGGGTGGTGGACAGGGAGGTCTTCAAGGACCTCGAGACCTGTCCCCAGCCCTGGTTGTCCCCACACCTCCAAAGGCTTTGCTCTCTCGCAGGGTGTGGGAGCAACGGGACCAGCTTCGAGGATGACCTGACCCTGGGAGCTGAAGGTACCAGCCCCCCCGGGGCACGCCAGGGTGTCCCCTCCTGTGGTGTCACTGTCACCCTGCAGGCAGAGCTGCCCCAGGGGTTGGGGACAGGCAGGAGCAGACCCAGGGTGACAGCCACCATCAGTAGCTTTTCCTCCTGGAGGGTTTTGGTGGGGCTGGGGTGCCCCCAGGCTCTGTGTCCACCCAAGGCTCTGGGCTGTGGCCACCGGGAAGGACATGTCCCGGGGTGGCAGATGTGGGACCTGTCCCCAGAACCCCCCCTCTCACTCCCTGTCACCTCTCTGTCCCTTTTCCCAGCTCTTCTGCTACCGGGGAGCAACAAGGCCACGGGCAGGTGAGGTTTGGGGTCCTGGGGGAGGATGGCAGGGGGTTGGGGACACTTTCCCTGTGCACCCCCTTCGCTCAGCCCTGTCCCCCCCCTGCCACCCCAGAGCTCTGCGGGACAAGCCCCTCCACCTGGGGCACAGCATGGCATCCAGTGCCCTCTCCAGCTTCACCACCAAGACCAGCTCCAGGTAGGAACTGAGGGGGTCTCGGTGGGGGACACACATTGTGTCACCCCCTCATGAGCCCAGTCCCCATGAGGCTGAGCTGGGGCTTCCCCCCCTTCTCTCCCTCAGCATCTCCGAGGTCCTGGAGTGGTGGCAGGCGGACGCCGAGGAGATTCTCTACAACCTGGGCTTCGTGCAGAGCGAGCCGGAGCCCGTGTCCCGTGTCCCCGCGCGCTTCTTCTCGTCCCCTTCCCGCGCCAACGGCATCGACTTCCAGCTCTTCCTCAAGGCCCAAGTGCAGCGCATGGAGATGGAGGACCCCTGCCTGATGCTGGCCAGTGAGTGACACCCCAAGCTCCCCACTGTGGGAGACACCACCATCTGGGGTAGGATCCACCACCATCTGGGATGGGATGCCCAAAGGCTTTGCTCCTTTGGAATGGTGGGAAAGATGCTCCCCTGCCTCAGTTTCCACACCATGTGGGGTGGGATCCATCACCATGTGGGGTAGGATCTATCACCATGTGGGTTGGGATCCACCACCATGTTGGGTAGGATCCATCACCATGTGGGGTAGGATTCATCACCAGATGATCCATCATCATCTGGGGTAAGATCCACCATCACGTGGGGTAAGATCTATCACCATGAAGGTTGGGATCCATCATCATCTGGGGTGGGATCCATCACCATCTGGGGTAGGATCCACCACCATGTGGGGTAGGATCCACCATCATGTTGGGTAGGATCCATCACTGTGTGGGTTGGGATCTGCCACCATCTGGGGTAGGATCCACCACCATCTGGGGTAGGATCCACCACCATGTTGGGTAGGATCCATCAGCCTGTGGGGTGGGATCCATCACCATCTGGGGTGGGATCCACCACCATCTGGGGTAGGATCCATCACCCTGTGGGTTGGGATCCACCACCATCTGGGGATGGATCCACATGGGTTTCCTCCTTTGGGATGGTGGGAAAGATGCACCCACGCCTCAGTTTCCCCACTTGGTGGAGCACACCCAGCCCACCCTCCCCCTGCCCCACAGAGCATCCCTCACCCCATACCCTGCCCTGACTCCCCCATCTCCTCCCGCCCCCCGCCCAGGTCGTTTCCAGCAGGTCCAGGCTCTGGCTGCCACGGCCGATGCTTTCTTCTGCCTCTACTCCTACGTCTCTCGGACCCCCGTCCAGCGCATCTCCCCCTCCCGCCTCGCCTGGCCTTGTCCCCACGTCCCCACCGTCCCCGTCGCCCCCCCCCAGCCCACCGTCCTCTCGCCCGTGGAGCGTTTCCCCACCATGTGGGGTGGGATCCATCACCATGTGGGGTAGGATCTATCACCATGTGGGTTGGGATCCACCACCATGTTGGGTAGGATCCATCACCATGTGGGGTAGGATTCATCACCAGATGATCCATCATCATCTGGGGTAAGATCCACCATCACGTGGGGTAAGATCTATCACCATGAAGGTTGGGATCCATCATCATCTGGGGTGGGATCCATCACCATCTGGGGTAGGATCCACCACCATGTGGGGTAGGATCCACCATCATGTTGGGTAGGATCCATCACTGTGTGGGTTGGGATCTGCCACCATCTGGGGTAGGATCCACCACCATCTGGGGTAGGATCCACCACCATGTTGGGTAGGATCCATCAGCCTGTGGGGTGGGATCCATCACCATCTGGGGTGGGATCCACCACCATCTGGGGTAGGATCCATCACCCTGTGGGTTGGGATCCACCACCATCTGGGGATGGATCCACATGGGTTTCCTCCTTTGGGATGGTGGGAAAGATGCACCCACGCCTCAGTTTCCCCACTTGGTGGAGCACACCCAGCCCACCCTCCCCCTGCCCCAGGGATGCACTGTGCTGGCTTTGCTCCTTTGGGATGGTGGGAAAGATGCTCCCCTGCCTCAGTTTCCACACCATGTGGGGTGGGATCCATCACCATGTGGGGTAGGATCTATCACCATGTGGGTTGGGATCCACCACCATGTTGGGTAGGATCCATCACCATGTGGGGTAGGATTCATCACCAGATGATCCATCATCATCTGGGGTAAGATCCACCATCACGTGGGGTAAGATCTATCACCATGAAGGTTGGGATCCATCATCATCTGGGGTGGGATCCATCACCATGTGGGGTAGGATCTATCACCATGTGGGTTGGGATCCACCACCATGTGGGGTAGGATCCACCATCACGTGGGGTAGGACCTATCACCGTGTGGGGTAGGATTCCTCATCCTGTGGGTTGGGATCCATCACCATCTGGGGTAGGATCCACCACCATGTGGGGTAGGATCCACCATCATGTTGGGTAGGATCCATCACTGTGTGGGTTGGGATCTGCCACCATCTGGGGTAGGATCCACCACCATCTGGGGTAGGATCCACCACCATGTTGGGTAGGATCCATCAGCCTGTGGGGTGGGATCCATCACCATCTGGGGTGGGATCCACCACCATCTGGGGTAGGATCCATCACCCTGTGGGTTGGGATCCACCACCATCTGGGGATGGATCCACATGGGTTTCCTCCTTTGGGATGGTGGGAAAGATGCACCCACGCCTCAGTTTCCCCACTTGGTGGAGCACACCCAGCCCACCCTCCCCCTGCCCCACAGAGCATCCCTCACCCCATACCCTGCCCTGACTCCCCCATCTCCTCCCGCCCCCCGCCCAGGTCGTTTCCAGCAGGTCCAGGCTCTGGCTGCCACGGCCGATGCTTTCTTCTGCCTCTACTCCTACGTCTCTCGGACCCCCGTCCAGCGCATCTCCCCCTCCCGCCTCGCCTGGCCTTGTCCCCACGTCCCCACCGTCCCCATCGCCCCCCCCCAGCCCACCGTCCTCTCGCCCGTGGAGCGCCTGAAGAAGGCCGTGGCCACCATGTGCCTCTACACGTCCCCGCGGGAGGAGGACAGCCCCCGGGGGACCCACCGGCCCCCCGCCGTGGCCACCAGTCAGCCCAGTGCCCTGGGGAAGGTGGTGCAGGAGGTGCTGGAGCGGGCGCGGGAGGACAGGTTCCGCTTCGAGCCGCCCGATGTCACGGAGGGGAGGGACACGGGGACGGCGCAGCAGTGGCGGGGGGCACGGGGGGGTCCCCCAGAGCCGCCATCACTGGTGGAGGGTGTCCCTGCGTGTCCCCATGCCCTGGCGTGCTGCGGAGGGGAGCGGGAGGTGTCCCCAGGGCCAGCCCCAGGGGGGACACCATCGGGTGCTGCGTGGGGACACCGGGGTGACACCCTGGGGTCCTGTCCCCACGGCCTGGGGAGCAGTGACAGCCCCACAGGGTGGGACAGCACGGAGCAGCAGGGTCCAGATGCTGCTGCCAATGTCACCTTGTCCCCAACCCCGTGTCCTCTGGCCCCCCACGCCGGCCGGGGGTGGGTCACCCCTGAGCACCCCGAGGGGCTGGGGTCCGAGGGGGACTCCGGCTTCGGCTCCTGGGGACCCTCCCCTGGGAGGAAGGCAGGGTCCCTCAGGTGCCACC